TGGATTTAAGAGTATTCTAAGTAAAAGATATTTCAGAATAGTGTGAAAAGAAAGTAAAGCATAGGTAATATGCAATACAAATGTTAAACAAACGACAACAGAAACTCCCCAATAATATCCTGTTGTCACGGCACTAAAATGTTTCTACCTACTCTGTGGTATTTTCAGGTTAAACTGATTTCCTCTGATAGTATTAGGTTGGTATGCTATATAACGCGAGTATCGGTAAGATAAAATACGACGTAATGCTCAAACTAACTGAGTTTGAGCAAAGAAATAAACAGGCTGGACTCAACAGGTAACACTGTTCATTAATTCAAAGATAAAGTAAACTGGACTTTTGAAATGATTAACAGATTTTCCTCCCTCAAGATTATTTCCTGTCACCCAACTAGAGATCCTGTGCGTTACTGTTTAAAATCTAATATTTCTTAGTTAATGAGAAATGTCAGATTTACTCATAGCAACTAACACTACACGTGTGACTGGTCATTCTCATCCAACATAGTAGAAGTAGTAACCTTGAGATATCACCTGCCTTAGCAGTGAAGGACACTGCTGTTGTTTACATTCGTGCACAACGTGCAATGTTACAGCAATCCTCTCGTGGACAGAACAAGTATTATCTCTAGCGAACAACAAAGGAACAAAAATAGCTAAAACAGTATCAACCTAAAGCCATTTTTGACCATATGTTGCTAAAACTGCAAAGACTGGGAATAAATGAAACATGTGAAAAAGTATATATTAAAACATCAAGGTTATTTCAAGTTCTTTTCTTTTGTAGCACTTTAAGACGGGTTATCAATTTCTTGGATTCTCAAATGTGAAAGTTTTCTTACATTATGGAAGGCCTGAAAATATATGATAACAGAAGATGAAAAAACGACACATTGGGGTATTATGTAGCTCCATAAAATCTATTTCTAAGGGATTTCAGGTTTTGAGTAAATATAAACCTATACTATGGGATGGACAGAAAAAGTCTGAGAAAATCTGTAAGGGTTTTGTTTGTGTATGATATCCTTTAAAGCTGCCTAGAGATTACAGTTAAACCATTTTTTCAATTTTTCATTGCAAGTTACGCTAAATATATTTTTAAGGTCACAAAATACCAGTTGCAAAATATTTTCGAAAACCAATTATTATTGAAGTAGAGTTAGAATTGCTATTTTTGCTTAAATTATGAAATTTGATATGCAAATATTCTTTCGACACCAGAGAGCTACCCTCGTGTTCTATTAGGTTTAATATGAATCATAAGAAAATATCTAGGGTTTGAACATTTTATGTATGGATTAACACGAAATAGTATTTTTGAAGGCTACATAGGTTATAAATTAAACTAGTATGTAGATCATCACATGAAAATGGTGTAAAGGATAAATACCTCGGGTTTGAATGTTTTATGCATAAATTTATAAGGAAAACTGCCCTTTCCTGGACTACGTAGATTATACAATGATATGAATAAATCACGGAGTACGCTACCCAAATACCACAGGCCTGCGATGGTTTTATTGTCTTGAAATTTTTCCATGTTTTACAGTAATTCCTGTACGCTGAATCCGAAAATTATGTCTATTTTTCTCCATTTTTTCGAAACGTCATACGTACCTTTACAGAAGTGAATCATTTTCACTGAAATCGGGTCACATTTTGTTATGCTTAAATTGTTGACAACCACTGGCTACATATTTCTCTAGACTAATCGTGACTTATCGATCGTTCTAGAACCCACGAGAAACACACATAATAATAAAAAAATGCTCATTGTGGTAAACGAAATAATAATTTCATCTAAGTTTTTTTTCTTCCCGATTTGTAAAAAAAAAAAAAACCTTACGCGATAGAAAAAAAAATATTATTTTCGAAATATGCGTAGGTGAATTATGGAAAGTCCATTATTAAAAAACATTATTTTATGAAGTTTAAATTCGCAGGCCTGTGTAATCAAACTGTAATAAAACTCGATGACACGAAATATTCATTTTACTTATCCAAACATCTTGTTTGTTATTGATAGATGATGACGAATTTAATACACAATTGTACTGTCCATTTTAACTTGGAAATACGACTTTAGTGTTTTTATTTCATATAAAATCTATAGTTTGAACTTGAGAAAGAAAGCAATCCTCTACGTCGATTGTAAGTAAACTAGTAGGTGGATAATCATGTGAGTATATCATAAAGTACACTATTACAAATAGCCAAACTTTAATACACGAAACATCAAATATGAATTTCATGTAATCAAATGCTTTGCTTATTATTGAATAAATGGATATTTGAATGACAATATAACGTTATAAGTTGATCATAACGATAATTCAGAACTGATGTCTGTTAAGATATATAGAGAATGAAATTCTAGTTTGTGTGTTTTTTTTATTCTGTATAACGTTACATAACTTGACAATCATGTTTGCCTCCTAGTGGCACAGCGGAAGGTCTTCGGACTTATAATGCTAAAAACCAGCACAGATAGCCCACTGTGTAGTTTTGTGCTTATCTACAAACAAACAAAGAATCGTGTTCAGACAGGATCACATCACCCTCTGGTGACACTCTGAGGAACTTTGACGTCATATGTCACGTGACTCTAAGCCTCAAAGTAACCTCCCACCACCACTAACTGCTAGTGTGGGTGTATTTATATATATATATTGACAAACTTTGTACTTCTCCACTCGTCCTTAGATCAGTTAATGTACATAATCTGTCAAAATTTCATCATTTTAAATCGGAGACTGAAAATTAATGTTTCAACAAGGAAGAAATTCAGAAAAACATAACAGCCTTGAGCTAGTAATTCTAAAATGTACATCATTTAATTCTCTATACTACATTAAAATCTTAATATTTGGTAGGAGTAATTGGTTAAGGTTTTAATTACTGGACAAATATCCATATATATATATATATATAATAGTACTGTCTGTTGTATGTCCGTGTAGCTACTTTGTCCCCTGTTGATGGTTCTTCACTAAATTTGGCATGAGGGTTTGCTGGGTCCATGCGGAGATATATGCAAAGTTGAGATTTCAAATTTTGTTTTGTAGTTTTTATGGGAGTTTTTTACAATTACATATAAGGAAGCAAATTTTCATGTCCTAAGATAACCTTTCATTAATCATGAATTTTCATAACTTCCGTCCAGGCGACGGGTACTCCAGCTAGTATATATTGTGTTTGCTGTTAGTGTTGTTTTTAATCGATGAATAAAGCGCAGGTAATCCATTGTGTAGCTTTAGGCAAAAAAACAACAACAGCTCTTTTAACAGTCAAGCAAGAAGACATAGTCAATCTGTAACCACTTTTTTTTTACTTTAGTTTTATTTTGTTGAGCTAATTTTTAACCTGGAAACTGGATGGACTATAACAGATGAATCATATTTTAGCAACGCGTTTCTACACTCTTGCGCGTTATTTCTCCTTAGCGGAAGGGTCGCAAGTTATAATTTTCTTTAGTTTGAGTTGTGGGTCAGCTAAAAGAACGGCATGTAAAACATATTTATTTATATATGTGTAATATATTCTCGTCAATGATTTAAACGAACTTAATAAAAACTTGTCTCTAACGTGAAATATATCTTATTGTATCAGCTTTCGTATATATTATTTAACTACTATTTTACTTTATTTCTATCGTTAACTCGATAGAGTCAGAGATACGTATCTATTATTCAGTTACTCTTTATATATAAGTAGTTTGTTTAGTTTTCCTTTAAATATTTTAGTACGTGAATTTTCTATAACTATGTTACTCATCTACAGTTTTCCTTTATATACTTTCTATATTTTTCTTTCTTCCTTGCTTATCTCAATTCAGTCACAGAAACGTGCATATTATTTGGGCGTAATTTATATATATATATATGCAAATTTTAACTTGCTTAGATATTTTGATGATTAATATTTATCAAATTTTTCAATATAGCTTGAAAATTTGCATATGTGTAACGAATTTGTTGTCATGTATTTATTTTAATATGAACGTTGTTTAGATTAAATTTATATTTAGAAAC